TATATTCATGCCTTAAGATATTTAATATTATTCATGTCTTTCGCACTATTAAGCCTCGAGGGGTAACGACGAAGGTCAATTGTAGTGCCAGGCACTACAACTTCCCCCCTGCTACCGAACAAAGGCTGCTTGTCGCTTATACTCTCCATACGTCCCGCTTCATGACAATCTCAGGACGTCCCACACGTCAGGGCCGTATGCCATTGGCTAATACGTCCAATCATGCTGGTGTCGTTAGTTCCAAGAGCGTTAGCAGCTGATAGAGTCTTGTGTTGTAAGGTGCTCCTGCACCCCTCCCCCTCCCCTCCTGGACGAGAACGGTGGCCAATGTATATGGGGAGAAAGGGGAAGAGCAGCGGGAAGGAAGAAGAAGAAGTAAAACTTTATCAGGACGAAAGGCGTCGGCGCTTGCGACGTTGCCATGCCCTGAGTAAGGCGGGACACCCCGCCAAATGGTGTGCTGGTTCCCACGTGGCCCTTTCCTCGGGGGCACCTCTCCACTTAACGAGATATTGCGCCTCCTCCCCAGTCCCTCTTTGGTCCAAGATATAGTCGACTAGATATTGATCTGTAGGTTTACCGGTATCATCGCGTGTTGGAGGCCAGCCCACTGGAGCTTCACGTGGAACTAAAGCTGGATCGCGGGGATGATGTGGGACCAGTTGTGAAACATGGAAAACATTGTGTCCCTCGTATGTGGGGGGCAGAGCAAGACGGTAAGCGACCTTGCCGATGCGTTCAGTCACCGTGAAGGGCCCCCGGTACCTGGGTTCAAACTTAGAACAATGGTTAAGAGCAGGTAAGTGTTTGCCACTAAGCCAGACTTGGTCGCCCACCTTATATTCCACAGCCCTGCGGTGGGCGTCAGCGTAGTATTTCTGACGCCACTTGGCCTGGAGAATGTGGCCCTGTGCGCGATCGCAGAGTCGCCGGAAGAGTTTCGTCATAGGGGGGAGTAAGCGTAGGAGCCAAAGCGCCAACAATGTCTAAGTCCGCCGCGGTTAAGGGATTCTCCCCAATCATGATTTCGAAAGGGGAAAGCTCTGTAGAGGAATGATGCTCCGCACGTACATCCAGGCAGACGAGAGGGAATGGGAACGCCTGCTGCCTGCCTTGGAGCTAGCGTATAACACCACCAATGACTGGTGGTGTTATACGCTAGCTCCAAGGCAGGCAGCAGGCGTTCCCATTCCCTCTCGTCTGCCTGGATGTACGTGCGGAGCATCTGTTCCAGGGTGCGGTTAAC